GGGTACTTGTCTTAGCTAATCTGATTATGTAGTTTATTCAGCACAGGAGGTATGTTTTTTATTGCTTTATAAACATTTACTTTACAACTCTGTGAGATTTTGTGAATGATCCTATGGTCATAGACTAAATTTTAGCATTACACAAACCATGCCCCTGGTAATAGAAGGCAGTATGTTCTGGAGAGCACCGGTGTATTTATTTATAGTCAATTGTATTATTTATTCATAGGTATACATTTTAAAATTTCTGACTTGTTCCTGATGCCAGAAATACATATTTATATTCTTCATTGGGAATATTATGGAATGCAAAGTAATAATTAGCATCAGCCTGACTGAAGAGGTGAATGTGTTATACGAAAAGGGGAAGTTTTCTTATTAGCCTTAAAGCCAAGAATAATATTTTCATTATTTTCCCTACTTAATAAATGTGGGAAACTATAGCAACACAGGCCTTACAGTTAAAAGAACGGGTATTTCAGAACAATTTACAGAGAGAAGCATTTCCTTTAGGGGACTTTTCTCCCATCACTACTGTTACTGTGCTTGAGGAAAGATGTGTTTGCTTTCGGTAGCATAAGCCTAGTAGTCTAACATGAAAAAATATTAAAAAATTATTCTATACTGGGTTTTTAACTCCAGTTTTTATGTTACAACTTTACATATTAGTGTGTGTGTGTGTGTATACATATAAGATTATTTTCAAAATATCTTAATCACGATAAAGAAAGTATCAATATTTCTGTTAATGAAACATTAAATAACATGAAAATATGCTTATGACTTAGTATTAAATGAAAAAAGCAAGATTTAAGACTGCATATGCAATATATTCCAATTTTTAAAAAATATTTCCTGAAGTGAACATTACTTCTTTATTTTTAAAAGTTTTCAATGTTTATTTTTGAGAGACAGTGAATAGGGAGGGGCAGAGAGACAGGGAGACAGAGAATTTGAAGTAGGCTCCTTGCTGTCAGTACAAACCTACAAACTGTGAAATCACAACCTGAGCCTTAGTCAGACCTTGAACCGACTGAGCCATCCAGGCACCCCACACGTATATTACTTCTTAAGTAGAGGTTCGTCAAGTGTGCCATATGGAAAGCATGCAGTCCTATATACAGTGTAAAGAAGTCTCCTGAAGAGAACACACCTATATAACCAGTGCCCAGATTAAAAAAAGAACATTGCCAGGGCACCTGAGTGGCTCAGTTGGTTAAGCATTTGACTTTGGCTCAGGTCATGATCACAGATCGTGAGTTTGGGTCCCACATCAGGCTCTGTGCTGACAGTTTGGAGTCTGGAGCCTGCTTTGGATTCTGTGACTCCCTGTCTCTCTTCCCTTCCACTGCTCCTGTTCTGTCTCTGCCTCTTTCTGTCAAAAATAAACGTTAAAAATTTTTTTAAAAGAACAATGCCAACTCCTTCTCTTGCTCCCTTTAAGGCAATGCCTCCTTACTCCTCCAAATAGCCACTTATCTGCACTTCTAACACCATTGATGAGTTTTGACTATTTTGAGATTGTATATACATGCAATTATACAGTATGTCCTCTTTTATGTTGGACTTTTTTTGCTCAATATTGTAAGATTCATCCACGTTTGTGTAGTGGAAGTTTACTCATTATTATTGCTGAGTCTTCTGTTGTATGAATATATCATATTTTATCCACTCTATATTTAGTGCACATGAACAGTTTCAAGTCTGGACTTGTAATATGTATCAACTTAAAAATGGACTTGAAAATATGAAATACCAACCAAATCTAGTTTTCAAATAAACAACCTTTAAGTCACTGGCAAATGATTTACTATGCTAATTACTCAAGTTTTTTTTACTATATGTTGTTCCCCCCAGCTATGATTTATCCGGAATCTGCAGGTATGGAATGCCTAACCATGTTATTGATTATGTTCAACTTATTTTTCTTCAAACATACGTACTTTGAATTATCTGGTTCAAAGATTTTCACTCCCTTGGTCATCATTTCCCAATAGAGGTAGCTAGCTCAAACTCCCTTTTCAAAGGGAGACACTTAAAAGCTTGTCCAAAAATATTCCAAAAAACTTTCCCACAGGACATATATTGGGCAACTCCTGCTTTCTATAATAAAAAAACCAAACGCTCATTTTAAAGCATGGGGTAAGTTAAGTGATAACACGTAAAATAAAACCACAAAGGACTACCTATATATATACATCCTTTACTGTAAACAGTCTTCATAGTAGGAATCCTAAGCAAATTATTACAATGTGACGTAAGCATGTTTTATAAATATTTCTCAGGGGCCCCTGGGTGGCTCAGTTGATTCAGCGTCTGACTTTGGCTCAGATCTTGATCTCATGACTCTTGAGTTTGAGCCCCATGTCAGGCTCTGTTCTGACAGCTCAGAGCCTGGAACCTTTTCCAGACTGAGCTCCTTTGAGGGTGGGTATTGTAATATTAAATTTTAGATCACTTAATAAATGTTTGATGAATGAGAGAATGAATTAATTAAATGAGAAAATAATTTTTTGAAAAAAAAGTTTGTGGGGAGAGAAAAAAACATTGTGTATGTAAGGTATTACTGTTCTGAATTCAACTGTGCACTCATGTCTGCAATCTTGAGTGGTGAAAACATCCTCAAGAGACCTTGGAAGAGAAATTTCATCCTCTAACAGGTATCTGCCTATACAGCTGCACTCATCTGCACAGGTCATTTCTGCAGGTTGACAGAGATCAACCAATTGCAATTTATTTGAATTTGGAGACGACCTGCTTAAAAGTGCACTTAAATTGCAACCCTTGTAGGCTTGAGTGTAACTGTGGTTGTAGCAAATAGGTATAGCTAAACACTGGGAAGGGTTCCACCACCACACTCCTGATGACTGTGAGTTATTTGTCCTCTGGACACCCTGTATTAAACTCTTATTGGCTATTAGGCTTGAGTGTAACTGTGGTTGTAGCAAATAGTAGCTAAACACTGGGAAGGGTTCCACCACCACACTCCTGATGACTGTGAGTTATTTGTCCTCTGGACACCCTGTATTAAACTCTTATTGGCTATTAAAATTTAGAACAGATTAACAAAGGCGATATTTTACAAGGCTCATCAGCGATCTGTACAGTAGAGCCAATACAGCATTTTTCTAACTTTATCATTTTGTTACATATCATTTGCTTTATGTAGTTTAAAAATTAACATGGCAAAACATTCTTCAGAATTTCAATCACAATAATAATCAAAATACCATCTCATTTTTGTTATTATATAACTAAAAATGAACTTGAATTCCATCTTAACAGCATTGACTAATTACTCACAAGATGAATAGTCATGGAAGAAAATGGGTAGAGGAAAAATAAGTCCCAGAAATTAAAAACAAATTTAAATTATAGACATCAAAAATTAGAAGCCATTAAACTGATAATTTGTTATGTTTACTGTCATGTTAAGCATTTATATTTTATTTTTTTAAGGTTTATTTATTATTCTTGAGAGAGAGAGTGCATGTGCATGCATGGGTAGAGGAGGGGCAGAGGGAGACACAGAATCTGAAGCAGGATCCAGGCTCTGAGAAGCCAGCACAGAGCACAACGCAGCGCTCTAACCCACGAACCGTGAGCTCATGACCTGAGCCAAAGTCAGATACTTAACCAACTGAGCTGCCCAAGTGCCCATGCCATGTTAAGCATTTAAATTACCTTTATGAAATATTCTTCACAATCCTTTTTTGAGTAGATGCTGCTGTATATTTGATTAATATACAGGCAAAATACTGATATTCTCATTTTGATTACTTTCTTATTTTATTTCATTCTTTTCAATTCTGTATTTAAGGTTAGCAGAGCTTCAGACACTGGGTAGGAAAGTGATAAACTGATATTAGAACACCTAGGAGTAAGGAAAACATCTCACCAACCTCAACCACAACTAATGATTTTGGCTGTGCTGATCTAATTGCCCATGGTTCTGTAACAGAAAACTGTTCTGTGTGATTCATATGTCATTCTACTGGAATACACTCTACTCCTTTGTTATGTTAAGCCTAACTCTGGGTTTCCCTTTCCTTAAAAGGTAGTTTCTAACAGTGTATTTCTTTTAAAGCTAATAATTAATAGTGAAAGAAAATTGGCAGCTTGTTGAGTTTTAACGGAAGTTTTCAGACACAGAAAAATATTATTTGATTAAAATAAAATCTCAGCTATGTAAAAATGTTTCCTACATTTATAAATACTTTCAGCTGAGTTGTTAATATCCTAGAGCAGTAAAAGATTAGTATCTTTCATTTATAATTAACCTACTAGATCCAGATTTTGCTTTCAGATACTACCATCATATTATCACATAGGTTGAAAATGACATTTTCCCAACTATCAAGGCATAACTTTCAGTGAAAGGTATTTAGCTTTCAGAGATCTCCAAACAGTCCACTAGTTCAGACATGAGGTTATTCTGACTGATCACCAGTGGAATCTTAGCTATACAAGTGTTCACAATTATAAGGGCATTCACTATTTCAAAGACTGTGATGCACTGTATATTAGTTAATAAGAAATTCTCTTGTATAGGGGCACTTGGGTGGCTCAGTTGGTTAAGTGTCAGACTCTTGATTTCAGCTCATGTCATGATGTCATGGTTCATGAGTTCAAGCCCCACATTGAGCTCTGTGCTGACAGTGCAAAGCCTGCTGAGCATTCTCACTCTCCCTCTCTCTCAGCCCCTCCCCTGCTCATTCTCACTCTCTCTCTAAAATAAATAAATATATTAACTTATTTTTAAAAAGTTATATTGTATAAATATTATTCCAAACTATATTTAGTGGTATTTTCTTTAGAATCAATGAAATTTTATTCACAACATTTAAAAATAGGGAATAGTTCCATGTTTTCAGCTTTTCATTTTTCTTTTTTATTCGTCATAAGAGTCATGAGCAATTCCTGAGAAAACACTATTATTTCCTTACATCCTGGAAAATGCTGTTCATTCCTGAAAACTTTTTTTTTCTTTTTTTCCCCCGAAGCTTCAGTCTTGCAAAATAATCAGACTGCACATGCAGTTTTCATACGAGGTATCAGAAATATGAAAACTTCTGATTTAACTTAATTTTTGAAGAGAAAAATTAAATTACATACCAACTGTTAGGTACTATGGTTACTAAAAGATCATAATCAGAGACTCCTCTCCCTTGAAACTGTACCATTCTCTGATGGCCAATTAGTACTTAGGGTAATATAATAGCTTTTTGAATGTTATCCAGTGCACCCTTTTTAAAAATCATGCTATTCCCTTCTCTTTACTTTTCTTCCAACCCTACCCATACCCTACTTGTGTGACTATTGTTTTTAAGTTTCTTTCTTTATTGGGGGGGAGGAGCACAAGTGCATATGCAAACGAGGGAAGGGCAGGGAGTGAGGGAGGGAGAGAGAATCCCAAGCAGGCACAGAGCATGATGCAGGGCTCAATCTCAGGATAGTAAGATCACAACCTGAGCCAATATTAAGAGAAGGATGCTTAACTGACTGGTGCTCCCAGGTGCTCCCATTATGACTATTATTAATTCAGGCATAAGCTCGAAGCTTATTGCTAAGAATGCTACCTAGAACAGGGAAGCTTAACTTTCATTCTGAAAGTAGATTTCTTTTTTAAGTCCAAAGCTTGTAAGCCAGGCTTCCAAGTGGTTAAAAAGGTCTTGTGAGAACTTCCAAAGCTGAGTTTTTACATTAGAAAAAAAATTTGGAGGATTAGCTATATTATAATCATAGTGACAAGTAGAATTCTAGATGTCTTGGAAATGAAATTCCATCCCTTTCGGGTCTAGTAGGGTTGAGATTCAGAGTGGATGGATAAGCTTAGGGTGAGGTCACTGCCTGGGTCCTGAGGAAGGACTGAGTTCCCTTCATTATCCCTAGCTTTCACACTAGAGGCAGAATATAAAACCCAATAAAAGTGAAAAGGCAATCTTTTAAAAATTTTTTTGTAATGTTTTATTTATTTCTGAGAGAGAGCGAGACAACGTGAGCAGGGGAGGGTCAGAGAGAGAGGGAGACACAGAATCTGAAATAGGCTCTGGGCTCTGAACTAGCTGTCAGCACAGAGCCCGACGCAGGGCTCGAACCCACAAACCATGAGATCATGACCTGAGGTGAAGTCAAATGCTTAACCAACTGAGCCACCCAGGTGCCCCGAAAAGGCAAACTTTCAGGCTGGTGCCTGGTTTGCGGGGACAGGGTGCAGGAGAGGCAGGAAGAGTCTGCAAAACCACAAACCTTTCAAAAGTCCTGTTTGGGACAAAGTGCTGTGTCTGTCATGGCACAGCAGTAATGGAAAGTAGTAGGGAGGTTTCCTTAGCTAAGGGCCAGAGGGCAGTTTTCACAAAGTTCCAGACTCCAAGGTAGTACAGAGAAAGCACCTCAGAGTTTTGAGGTTCCTCTAAAGAGTTTGGAAGTGCTAATGGAACTGGAAGACTGACATGGACTTGGTTCAAGAGTGAAAAGGCAGCAGAGTGCATATTTCTTGTGAAAAGAGAGAAACGCACACCTCTGCAAATCCTGGCACAGCTTGCCTACTGACCAAACAGATATAGTAAGAACAAGACTGAGGAGGCCCAGAAGTCAAGCCCTTGAAATGCTTCTCTGGAAGGACAGCAACAGAAGCGATGCTTCTGCCTGCACTCAAATGCCAACTTGATTAAGAAGGGAGGGGAGACACTAGAAAGGAGCAGAAATTTTTATAAACTGTATAGTCAAAAGAAAGTATTTTTAAAAAGAAGATAATGAGGTGCACTTGGCTGGCTCAGTCAATAGAGCATGTGACTCTTGACCTTAGGGTCATGAGCTCAAGCGCCACATTGGGCATGGAGCCTAATTAAAAAAAAAAAAGATACTGAGATGCCTTCTGAAATGAAAGGTTTAGTATTTTGTACCATGCTGGGTTGTGTATTTTATGCCATAATTTTGAAATGGCTGCCTTTAACTAGAAAGAGATCAGTTTAGAAAGTAAAGTTACTTTTGATGCACACCCTAGATTAGGACTGGCCAATGTATACCTCTTACGCTAAAAAATGTCAAATTATAATACTATCACAATCTCCATAGAAATTAAAATTCCTAATTCATAAAACCTATGCTGCATAAGTAATATGTGCTCCTTTTTCTACAGCATTACCCTTAGGATAAAAAAAAATCATGCTATCATTCAGGTCTCTCTGTTCACTGACCTTGTAAAGCAGTATGTAAAATATGTACACAGCCTCTATAATTACATTAAGAAAATTTTAGCTCTCATCTAAATGAGATAAGATTTTATGAATTATACAGTTAGGTATTCTGCCATCTCTTAAAGTTTTTATTTTGTATATTAAGCTGCCAGTTTTTAGCAGCAAAGGTATTCTCTGAATTGTCATTAGGACCAAGGGAAAGCAGTGAGCCAGAAACTAAGAAGGTCAGGAAAAAGGGTGGCTATATTAACCAGTGCATTCAGATGATCAAGACTTTGAGTGAGACAGTCACTGACAGAGCAAGAAAAAAGCATTGGTAACAAAGAAATCTTGATTATGTATTAAACAAGTATTTCATGCCTGTTCAAGAACAAATCCCAGAACTGTACAGACTAAACTTGCAGATATGCGCTGTTAGGGAAGTGAAAGAGGGCTGTGAGATTAGGGCTTCATCCTGATGTCAGCCTTATGGTGGCACATTCTGACACTAACTATACGTAAATTCCTCACTTTCATATGTTCCCTGAAAACTCTTATTCCGGAACTTATTTTTATTGATCCTTTCATCTCTTCCTATGTCCAAGTGTATTTGACTTTACCTGCTCACCCCTGTTTTAAATATCTTCCAAAAGTGCTCCTCTACTCCTCATCAGTACCCTTCACTCTAAAATTTTTGCCTGAGACTATTCTCCTCTTTGAGAAAACTTCATATAAATTCCAAGTGAATTTGGGAGCTAGCCTTTGGTAAAAGAACAAACATTAAATCTCTATTATCAATCAGGAAAGACTAAATTATACTGCATAACAAATAACATCAAATTTTCGGCTTTATGTATACACACATACACATAAATAAGACTGCAAGAATATCCACTGAAAATACTGAAGCATTTTATTCCTTTTCAATTCCAAATAGTACTCCGTGTAACAGGTCGATTTAGGATTTTTAAAAAATCTGTTTTAATTGTATACATGGAATTATATTCCAAAGAGGATTTCAGGAGTCTGGGAGCATAACTTTTCCATTAAAGCCATTAATTCAACATGAAAGCTCTCAAATCAGAGTACTATTTTAAGAAAATAAATGTACTGAATGGAGAGATAACTAAAAAGAACTAGAGAAACCACAGGTATATCTTGGGGTGGGGGGGTTGTGTAATTTGACTCCAGCAACACTGTTTGACTTAATGATGCCTAAACATGTACCATTTACATTTAGGTAGAAATTCTTTACCTGAAATTATATTATCTTCAAAGCCAAAGAAAATCTATTTTTAAAAGAGAAAGAAAACTGGTGGCAAGACCTCTTGAAAAAAATATTCATATACTCCTTTTCTTGTTCTGTCAGGGGTTTGAATGAGCTATTAATTTTTTTTATACAAAGGTTCTGTTAAAATGTCCATATGGTATAAAATGGTGTAGTTACTATGCCTTGTTGAAATGGTTCAGAACAAAATAAATATAGTAAACTAGTTTTTAAAAATAGTTTTGCATAGGATGGTTCATAAAATTGATTAAGCCCTGCCAATAAAATTAGCTTAGAAACATCTATTTGTCACAATATATAACAAACCTCTTTAAAAGAGGTAGAGAAAATGAATTTCAAAAAAGCTCCATCAAAGACATCAATAACTTATTTAAGAATCTGACTGTTAGAATCAAATTGATACAAGTGTTGTACAAATACAAATTACACAGTAATTTATAAATTGTATGGTTAAGGATAACCATGCTTTCTATTTTGCTTTTATCTATCTATTTAAAAGGTAGCTGTAAGAATATCACAAGATAATTAAAAATAGGTATTCAAATACCCCGCATTTTTAAGGAAAGTTTTTAAAAAACCACATCATATGCTTTATATTAATGTGCCATAAAAGAACATGGTTTGAGTGCTTGCCTATGTCAAGGCATGGTATGCTATTTCTTATGGTGTCTCACTGCATCTGACTATAACCCTATGAGAAATGAAGTGCAGATATTTTTAATAAACCACCCAAGAGATTATTAAACGTCCACCCAAGGGAGTTGAAACAAAATTCAAATCCACATGTATATTCTTTTCACTATGCTCTGTTGTCTCTGATATCAGAGTTGCAGTGGGAGTACAGGAACAAGGGGAGTGGTCATGAAGGAGCCATGACCGGCTCACACTCCACATTTAGCCCTCTTTTCAACAGCATTACATTTATTTCAGGGTTCTTTCTTTGCTGCTTTGGGCAAAGTTCTGGCAGGTTTTCAGTGTGTCAATTGATACAGATAGGTCTTCCATTCTAAAAACAGGTCTATCTACTTGCTCCTCCTGTTAGAATTAGATGAAAAATAACTTCCAAATAGCTTGCTATGACCTCTATAACTGGTATCTGTGGACTTTGGAAACTGCTTTGATGGTTAGCACATCTGAAATGAACCTTGATCTACAAAATAAACACTTGGAGCCTGTTAAAAACCAATACTTTAGATATAGAATGTTTCCTTTTTTTGTCTTTCTGTGGCCATTGAAAATGATACATTTTTACCTTTGTGTAATTCTTAGCTGAGCACTAAGACATTTTTGTTTTTTATGTAATCAAACATTTTAACTACTTAAAAAATTGTAGTTGCAACTTGAGGACAGTGTGAGAATTTGGAATTCCAGTATGCTCTGAAGGGGAGAATTTATGAAATACAGATAATGGAACTAAATATGAGCTAGTTTTCTAAACTCTGAATGCAGAAGTAAACTTCTGAATCCTCAGGAATATGGAGAAGACCTATAAGCTGCCACAGAGCCAGCCACCCTGCCTTGTACCCGTGATTGTCCTCAGTATAAAGGCTACTGATTTAAATTGCTTCTTTAACTGTTTTTCCTGGTCAACTTCCAGTTCTTCCTGTAGATGAGAAG